TCCAATAAGTCATACTGCCTTCATGAGTTCTAATTTTAATTTTTTGAACATTTTGTGGTTTTAGATTTACAGAAAACTCATGGAGACAGAGCAGAATGCTCCCGTGTATCTAGTCAGGTTCTCCTCCTATCACACTGCATGTTCACGTGATAGATCAGGCACTGTTATGAGCAAGATGAGGCTCATGATTATTGAAATCTGACTTTATTCAGATTTCCATAGTTTTCACCAGCTATTTATTACTTTTCTCTTCCAAGATCTCATCCCAGGTAACCCAGGACTTGTAGGGGCCATTCACCTTAGGCTGCTCTTATCTATGACCGTTTCTCAAATTTCCCTTGGTTTTGGTAGATAGTTCTGTGGAGTATTGGTCAGGTATCTTATGAAATGCCCCTCAGTTAAGTTGTTGTTATATTTTTCTCATGAACAGCGTGGGGCTGTGGGATTTGGGGAGGAAGACCACAGAGGTGAAGTACCATTCTCATCATGTGAAGGAGACCTCTGTCCACAAGACTGGGTCTGGCTCGCGTTGACTTTGGTTACCCAGCTGAGGGGTGTTGGCCAGGTGTCTACAAGGAAGTCTCTTCTCTGTTTCCCACTCTGCACTATTGGAAGGAACTCACTAAGGGTGATCAGAAACCTGAGGATCAAGGAGCTACATCCTTCCTCTCCGAGGGCAGAGTATCAGCATAAATTCTTTGGAACTTTTCTGCATGAGAGTTCTATTTTTTTCTCCATGATTTTTAAGGTTATTCAATCACTTCTTTATATGTACTTCTATGAATGTATATTCATAAAAACATACTGATATAACACAGAATTTTAAATAATTCCTAAAATATAAATAATAAGTTAAATATGAATTCTAAATTAAAACAAACTTAGAAATTGGAGAAGAGAGAGAATTTAGTTTAATCCACTAGTGTGTTATTAATTTTGTTTCTCAACATCCTTTCCATAGTTTCTCTCAGTCAGTTCTTGTGACTCTTGGACATGGCCATAATTTGTGGGCTCTTTATTTTTTATTAGTCTGAATATTTCCTAACTTGCTTATACTACAAGGCATTGAAGGTTCACTGCACATATTTTCCGACTCAGTTCCAGAATCAACCATTTCTCCATTAAATCTAGTTTTTGTTGGTGAATCATAACAAAAACCACAATGTGGGTGTTAGCTCATTGTTACTGGGGTTCTATGGCTTCTAGATTCTCTTAGCTGACTGTCCAACGAAATGCTTGTGTGTGTGTGTTAACCTCATATATACATGAGGCGACTGCATGGCTACTTGAAGATTCTTGCAGACTCCAATACTTTCCACGAGTTTCTTGATCCTCTTCAATGAGGTTATTTCATGCATTTATAATATATTTGCAGTGTTTGGTCAGAGCCTGTATTTCATCCCTGGGTCTTTCATCCTCCTGTAGATATACACATTTACACACATATATTTACAGATATGTAGTTGTCACAGTTAAACTTCACTCTTTCTTTTTTATTATTAATTTATTTTATAGTAGGATGCATTTTGACATACTGTATACAAATGGAGCACAACTTCTCATTCCTCTCTCTGTCTAGTGCAAAGTCACTCCAGTAGTATAATCATACATGTTATATAGGGTAATAACGTCTGTCTCATTCTACTATCCTTCCCATCCCCACAGCCCCTCCTCTCCCTCACTTCCCTTTATAAAAACCAAAGTTCCTTCATTTTTCCCTATCTCCCCACCTCACCATGGATTGGCATCCACTTATGAGAGGAAAAATTCTGTTTTTGCTCTTTTGGGATTGGCTTATTTCATTTAGCATTAATTTCTTGGGTTCCATTCATTTACCTGCAAATGCCATAATTTCATTCTTCTTTAAGGCTGAGAAATATTCTACTGTATATTCCACTGTAATATTCCACTATACATTCCACTGTATATATGCCACACTTTCTTTATCCGTTCATCTATTGAAGGCATCTTGATTGGTTCCATAGTCTAACTATTGTGAACTGAGCTGCTATAAACATTGATGTGGCTGCATTACTATAGAGTGCTGATTTTAAGTACTTTGGGTATAAACTGAGGAGTGAGATAGCTGAGTCAAATAGTGGCTCTGTTCAATAAGCTTTACTCTTCTGCTGTAAATTTTGATAGATTTTGACAAATACATGGTGTCACTTATCTGCCTTTAGCATATCATATCAAATAGTTTGGTCACCTAAAAAAATCTCCTGTCCTTCACTTATCAACCCATGAAAACCAATGATGCTTTTACTGTTTCTATAATTTTCCTTTGGCAGCATGTTGTAAGACTAGAACCATCCACTAACTATATAATCTTTTCAGATTGATTCATTCACTAAGAAACATGCATTTAAGATCCATCTATGTCTTCAGATGGCTTAATAGTTTATTTCCTTTCAACACTTCGCAGTATCCTAAATATAGATAAACCACTGTTAATCTACTCCTTTATTGAAAGATATCTTTGTTGCTCTCAGTTTTTGATTATCAATAAAGTCACTATAAACATTCATGCATAGGTTTTTGTATCAATTTAAGTTTTACAATGAGTTAAATGAATACCCAAGAGTTGAATTGCTTTATGGTATGGAAAAACAGTGTTTAGCTTTAGTAAGACTAGGACACACTCTCTTCAAAAGTGCACATGGCCCCATGCAGTGGCACACATCTATACTATCAGTGGCTCAGAAGGATGAGTCAAGGCCAGGCCAGCCTCCACAACTTAGTGAGGTCCTAAACAATTTAGTGAGACCCTGTCTCAAAAAAGTTAAAAAGTGGCTCAGTGGCAAAGTCCCTCTGGGTTCAATCCCTGTTATCCAAAAAAAGAAAGAAAGAAAGAAAAGAAAAAAGTGCCATTTTGTATTTCCATTAGCAAAGAATGAGTTGTATGATCACAATAATATTCCAAATTTTCAGTGATTCTACTTTGATTGAGAAATTCCTTGATCTTAAGATTATCTTGAACACTGCAAGAGTTCTTGGGCTCCTTGTGCTAACTGCCAGTACTACCCTCAGTCATTGTTATGGTCAAAGGCACTTATTCTTTTAATGTCCCCAGGAAGAGGGGAGGTGTGCCACCCATGTAAAATGTTTTGACTTCTATGATTTTTCAACTATTTTTCTAACTATTGATTTTTAAAATATTTTTTATTTGTAGATGGACACAGTACCTTCATTTTTTATTTATTTATTTTTATGTAGTGCTGAGGATTGAACCCAATGTCTCACACGGGCTAGGCAAGCGCCCTATCATTAAACCACAACCCTAGCCCCAAGAGTTAAACATTTAAGGTTTGTCTTAATAAAAAAAAAATACAAAATTGTCTAATTGATGCAAAAAAAGGGTGTACAAAATACATTAACACCTTAACACCGTAAGCACAATATTCTAATGTATCAAGACTAATCAGCTCTAAATGTTGGGACTATAAATAATTTCCACCCTTATATATTCTTTTAATGTTTCTTTTTAATTAGTAGGTGGAAGTCTTCTAGAAGAAAAACGAAAAAAAAAAGGTATTAAAATGTTCCAATAGTGAAATGATTCTAAGTTTATTATGTTGAGTGGATTGTGCAAAGCTGCTCCTATGAGAGAGTTTTCATTGCTTCGACAGACTTCCATTCTTTTATTGAATCTGGGCCAATGTTCTTCTCACATAGTCTCTTTGATTGAAAATGGTGACAAGACAAAAAATGAGGGACATGCAAAATGACGGAAAACACCAGAAGGACTTTCTCCCCCCC